ATTTGTGCTCGCACATGGGAGTCAAAAATTACTTCCGCCAGAAGTTTCAAAATCGTGTTTATAGATTGAATCTGCTCATTTGCATAATTACAAATTAGAGATACAAGCTTAAAATGCAGTGCATTGCAATTTAAAAAATGTGATTATCTGGCAGATTATATAACCACTGCCAGAATTTAATTTGAAGGAAAATAATTTCTAATTTTATCGTCAATCTACCAAATTCTGCTGTTTCTGAAATAAGTGCAATAATTAAACTTCAAGCATTTAAATTATAATGTAGTGATGATAAATTTGATAAAAATATTTTGGTGTGGTTTAAATTACACCAAGCTCTGGACAAGTTATGCCAGATCAGGTATGACATGCATTTGCATATTTACCATTTTGCTTTTTTGTTACAAGGACAACACCCTTCCCATCTTCAGCTGGTTCAACACCAACAGTCTGAAAACAAACAAACCAATATAATATAACAAGCAGCCTCTCTGCACATTACAATTAAAGAACTGGAGATATCATTAGAAAATGAACAATGTATATATAAAAAACAACAGAACAAAACTGAAAGAAGTCCACACGTAGTACGTATATATGTAATATAAAAGCAATCTGACTTGCAGTTTTCAACAAGTCAAAAATATCACTTTTCACCAAAAATGACAAAAATATTCACCAAAATTAGAGAATTGACGTTATCATTACAAAATAAACAAATTTGAGAGTGGTCCACATGTAGTACCTATATATGTAATATCAAAGCAATTGAACTTGTGGTTTTTAACAAGAAGTCAAAAATATCACTTTTTACCAAATATGACAAAAATATTTCCCAAAATTAGAGAATTAAATATATCATTACAAAATGAACAAATCTGAGGGAGGTCTTCCCAAGGTACATGTACACCAAGTATCAAAGCATTCAGGCTTGTAGTTTTCAAGAAGAAGTTGAAAAAGTAGAACATTGACACGGACGATGACGGGCGCCGACGATGGACGCCGGACAATTACTCATATGATAAGCTCCGCTCGACAAAGTCGACCATGGAGCTAAAAAGGCATCAATTAAAAAAAACACTCAATCTGATAAACGGGCAAAATATTTATCACAATGGTTTCAAAACAAGCAGCCTATCGGCTGAGATAGATCTGCTGTTAGCAATGCACATTTCAATTAAAAAACTGAAGACATCATTAGAAAATGAACAATATGAATAGTATCAAAGCAATCTGACTTGCAGTTTTTAACAAGAAGTCGAAAATATCACTTTTTACCAAAAATTACAAAAATATTCACCAAAATAAATTAA